TACAAGATGCACTGCAGAAGTTCACCAAGGATCCTTAAACCCACGACTACTTCCACCCAGCAGGACAAGGGCAGCAGATAAAGGGAACATCACTTGCAAGTTCCTCTCCAAGCAATTCACCATTCAGATTTAGAAATTTATATTTGTTCCTTCAGTGTCATCAGGTCAAAATCCTGGAAGTTCCACCTAATTACATTGTGAATCTGCCTATACGAATTGGACTGTAGTGATTCAAGGCAACAGCTCATCATCCTCAGTGTCAACTAAGATGGACAAGAAGTGTTGGCCCAGCCAACAACACCCATGTCTCAAAAGGAATTTATAAAGTGGTTGAAGAGGCCGAACAGACAACTAGACAGGTCTTCACGATATGCCTAGATAGCAGAATAGGGAGAAATTGTTCTCACGTTCAAAGGCTCAAGAGCAAGAGGTTATGAATTTATGGTGATTGCTTAAAATGAGAAAACTTCTCCCTTCCCACCACATCCCTGGCCCAAAGATCAGTAAAAATATTTATTGCAAAATAAATATTGGCTAACACCAGAATGCTGCCAGAGATTAATATTTTTTAATACAACACAGTAATAGGTTAAGAGGCATACATTCTGCGGTTAAGTTGACAAAAACTGAACAAAACTCAACAGTGACACCATATGGTTGATTGTCAAACTACATGCTTAAATTCACCCGGTGAGTAAATGAAGGAATAGATTAGTTTCTTGGAGGTTTTTACTTCAAGTTTAGAATTTAAAATCAACCTGTCTGGACACTGCTGCAGCGACTTGAACTTGGATATTCTGCTCAAAAGGTGTAAACTTAATACCACCTCCTCCTTCCAGGAAGTAATTAACCGTTCTACTGAATTTAGTTAACCATTCTTGAATTAGTGACCATTTCAACAGTTTGCATGCATTCTGGAACAATGCACCGAGGTAGTACTACATTGCTGGCATCACTGTTCTTGCGTCTATGAAAACTTAGAGCCCAACTATGATTCAGCCAAACATTCGTGCACCCATTATACAATCTAAACAGGCCACCCTTTGGCCAAGTTGTAATCAAGCTCTTAAACAACACCACACGTCCAATTGTATATACCCATCACTATCATTCACAATTTTACTGTCATAAAATGGCCAACATGTCTGCGATTCAAATACAATTATTTTAATTGCTTGGCTATAGAATTCTGTTGCTACTAGGCTTTGATATTTCAATTTGTTGTAGAAAGTATAACATTGTTCCTCAAAAAAGGTATGAAAGGTGCAGTTTAGGATGCGGTGTAGGCTGAAGAACAATTTCCTTGTCAGCAAGCTCAGAGATCCATTCTATTTGTGATAACTGAAATGCTCAGAAAGTAATTTTATGATTCCTCTAAGGAAGTGAAAAATCCAAATGCAAGCTAAAAAACAAGGAAACTATGCAGTCTGTCAATAAGAAACTAGCTATTGTTAATTACAAACAGCATGTTTTTGCCAAAGCTTCTCAGTAGTCATGTAAAGTTCAAGACAAAACTTGACAGGTTTCTTTTTTCAGAATGATTCTTCCCCCGCCATTATACATTATATTTGACCCATTCAATTATGAAAACTTGATATCCTCCCAAAACTTTCATTCCTACCCACCTTTATTCCTTCAGCAATGTTTGCCACAATACATGCAGTCCCTTCATCCAAGACATCAACAAATCATGAATAGTTGCTAACCTAGCAGTGATCCCTGCGATATTCCACTAGTCTCAATCTTAAAGTGATCTGTTCATCCCAACAATTTCCTGTTAATTAGCCAGTCCTCTATCCATGTTAACATTGCATTCCCAACATCAAATTTTATCTTGTACAGTAGCTTATCACCTTATTAAAACACCTTTTGGAAAGTATATTACATCTACTAAGCACTGCTTTTAATCTCGCACTAAATAGAGATAATTAACAAGAAATAGCAAAAGGGAAAAAGGTAATTTATGCTGAGAAAAGAGTGGGCTGATTAGTTGGCAAGTGGTTGATACAGACGTTGCCACCAAGAATGCAACAGTAAAATGTCGACTGAATTAACTGACAAGTTTTGTTTAAATTTTAAACCAGGCAAGTTGATTGGTCATGACAATGTCTTGAAAAGATCCAGAGAAAGTCATTTATTTTATTCAGTTGAAACAGACAGAATGTATCCATGTTCCTTCTGTCTGCAAAGGACAAGGCCTCATGTATTAACTTATGTAGCTTCCAGTGCACTATAACCAATTCCGACTGACAACCCTAAATTAATTGGAGAAAGGCCAATTTTGATAGTATTAGGCAAGAACTTGCAAAAGTTGATTGGGGGCATATGTTTGCAGGTAAAACTGACAGCTGGAAAATGGGAAGCCTTCAAAAATTAGATAACCGAAGTCGAGGGACAGTATGTTCCTGTTAGGGTGAAGGGCAAGGCTGGTAGGTGTAGGGAATGCTGGATGACTAAAGAAATTGAGGTTTTGGTCAAGAAAAAGAAGGAAGCATATGTCGGATATGGACATAAGAGATTGAATGAATCTTAGAAGAGTACAAAAGCAGTAGGAGTACACTTAAGTAGTAAATCAGGATGAAAGGGCACGAGATAGCCTTAGCAAATTGGGTTAGGGAGAATCCAAAGGGATTTTATAAATACATTAGGGATAAAAGGGTAACTAGGGAGGGAATAGGGCCCCTTAAAGATCAGCAAGGCCACCTATGTATGCAGGAGATGGGGGGACATACTAAACGGGTATTTTGCATCAGTGTTTACTGTGGAAAAGAACAGGGAAAATATAGAACGTGGGGAAATAGATAGCAACATCTTAAAATGTTCATATTACAGAGGTGGTGGTGCTGGATATCTTAAAACACAAAGGTGGATAAATCCCGGACACCTGATCAGACGTACCCTAGAGCTCTGTGGCAAGCTGAGGAAGTCATTGCTGGCCCCCTTGCTGAGATATTTGTATCATCTATATCCACAGGGGAGCTGCTGGAAGACTGGAGGTTGGCTAACGTGATTACTATTTAAGAAAGGTGATACGGAAAAGCCAGGGAACTATACACCAGTAAGCCTGACATCAGTGGTGGGCAAGTTGTTGGGAGGGAATCCTGAGGGACAGGATTTACATGTATTCGGAAAGACAAGGACTGATTAGGGTTAGTCAACGTAGCTTTGTGCCTCACTAACTTGATTGAGTTTTTTGAAATAACAAAGAGGATTGATGAGGGCAGAGTGGTGGACATGATCTATACAGACCTCAGTAAGGCATTCGACAAGGTTCCCCATGGTAGACTGGTCAGCAGGGTTAGATCACACAGAATACAGGGAGAACTAGCCATTTAGATATAGAACTGGCTCGAAGGTAGAAGACAAAGGGTGGCAGTGGATGGTTGCTTTACAGACTGAAGGCCTGTGACCCGTGGTGCGCTACAAGGATCAAGGCTGAGTCTACTGCCTTTCGGCATTTATATAAATGTTTTGGATGTGAACATAGGAGGTGGTTAATAAGTTTGCAGATGACACCAAAATCGGAGAAGTAATAGACAGCGAAGATGGTTACCTCAGTACAGAAGGATCTTGATCAGATGGGCCAACAGGCTGAGGAGTGACAGATGGAGTTTAATTTAGACAAATGTGAGGTGCTGCGTTTAGAAAAGGCAAATCAGGGCAGGACCAATACACTTAATCATAAGGTCCTAGGGAGTGTTGCTGAACAAAGACCTTGGATCGAAGGTTCATAGTTCCTAGAAAATGGAGTCGCAGGTAAATAGGACAACAAAGGCAGCATTTGGTAGGCTTGCCTTTATTGGACAACGTATTGAGTATAGGAGTTGGGAGGGCACTGTTGCAGCTGCACAGGACATTGCTTAGGCCACTTTTGGAATATTGCGTGCAATTCTGGTCTCCCTGCTATAAGAAGGATGTTATGAAACTTGAAAGGGTTCAGAAAAGATTTACAACGATGTTACCAGGACTGGAGGGTTTAACCTAAAGAGAGGCTAAACAGGCTGGGGTTACTTTCCCAGGTGTACTGATGGCTGAGGGGTGACCTTATAGAGGTTTATAAAACATGAGGGGCATTGATAGGGTAAATAGACAAGTCTTCTCCATGGGGTGGGGGAGTCAAAAACTAGAGGACACAGGGGTAAGATTTAATAAGGACGTGGGGGCAACATTTTTAAGCAGACAGGTGCATATGTGGAATGAGCTGCCAAAGAAAGTAGTGGAGGCTGGTACAATTACAACATTTAAAAGGCATGTGGACGAGTGTATGAATAGGAAACGCTGGCAAATGGGACTAGATTTATTTAGGATAACTGGTTGGCATGGACGAGTTGGACCAAAAGGTTTGTTTCAGTGCTGTACATTTGTGCAATTTTATGACTGTATGGTTGTCAGCATAATTGTGCACTAATTTAGCAAGTACTGTAAGACAATCACATTTAATTTGGATGTTTGTCAGTTTTGCAAGTGCAAACTGGTAGAGTATGGTCAGTAGTTTGCTTGCTATAAACAGCAAAAATGACAGACTTTTTGATACAATCTTGCCATTCATTGGCATGCCTGGCTTACATACCTGGTATCTCACCAGCAAAATTCACACCACTTGTACTACACAAGCAAAATGTCTTTTTGGCTTCAAAGCAACATCCTGCTCGTGGAAAACACCACTTCCAGTTAGAATTACAATAGTGAATCTCCAACCTGATGGGACTTTTCCAGAACATAGGGAATTTCAGAAGACTACATAACACATCCACAATTTCTGCAGCCAATCTTTCTAGCCACAGCACGCAGGCCACCAGACAGTGGTCTTAGTAGCCCCAAGTTGCATTGGCATTCTCTTAACTTCTTTCTGTAGTGTCCAATTCAAGTTCCTTCCTCCATTTTGTCGATTTTTAGCAATTCTTAGGATGGACTGTGTGTCTTCTGTGAAGACACAGTATTCAAAGCTTGTGCCATGTGCATTTGAATCATGCTTACCAGAGCAATTTACCTAAACTTACCGCCACAGGACTTAAAAATGGAGTTGTCTTGCTGACTGGAGTCATTGTAAGCCTCCAAGAAATTCCTTAAACTGGTCACAAAGCTTTCGTAGGACTTTGGGTTTGACACACTAAAGGAGATTTCGGTTTTTGCTGAATATGGTGTATGTGATAATCCTAAGGAAATGAATGTAAAAGTTTGAAAATTAAATAAGTTATACATGTATTTTTGCTGATTTAAATAGTAACATTTGAGATTAGTTACTGTATTCAGTAAATCAACATCTTTGTATCTTAATGAAATTGTCATGCAAATACTGAACTGACAAAATGATTTAATATGACCCCTCAAAAAAAAACATCCAATATTAGGAACATCCTAGCCCACAATCAGCTGGTTTCCTGACAAAGTAGTAATAACTGTTGCAAATTGTTTATTTTGCTTATAATGAATTAGTGAACCAGTTCACTCCAATTCACTATGCAGTATCCTGTCCTTGGATTCATGGAGAGGTATTACATGGTATTAGGTGACTCCCTACCCAAGGTTTGTACATAACTTATTTGCATGCTACAGAGTACAACTCTTCTTGTGTATTTCAAGTAAAAAAAAATACCTTACAAAAGCAGGTTAATGTAATGAAGCTTAAATAACATAGGCATAATCTATATTGCATTGCATTTCACAATTAAATCTAAACTATAAATAGTTTAGAAGTAAAGCTCTACATGTGGCCTTTGATATAACCAGAATATACAACATTCTGACATGATTGAGCTAAACTGTACTTTGTATGCAAATATTGGTATGTCTGAATTTGAATTAATTCCTTCTAAAAGGAAGATTTATTATTCAATCTATCCCTTGTAATGTTTTTAACGTTAAGAAAATAGTTTATCAAAACTAAACTGCATGGAAGAGTGCGTGGGAGGTTACCCTGTGCATGCTGAAACGACCTTCAGTTGCCTGCAGCATAGTGGTAGTATGACACGCAGGCTTTTCCATTGCGCCTCGTTCGGGCGAGTGGATAACAACAAATCGACTAGCACTGAGCGTGAAATAATTTACGCCATGAAAGGCAAATGACATTTCCCCAACAGTTATCGGCACACCCTTGTTCCGTATGCTTAAAAATGCAAAACCATTATACCTGGAGGTGCAACTCTGTCCTGATATTTCGGTTCGAAATCACTAAGAGTGAGCAGCAACACTTGAATTGTTCCGATGAAGATCCCAGCAAGGCACCCATAAAAGATCAAGTAGAACAAGAATATCTTGACTATAGGATAAAGAGAACATAATTAGATATTACTGGTTTTCTTTAAATCGAACACCAGTAACTGTTCCGATTTTGTATTTCAAATATCTTCATCGTGACATTGTTTGCCTCAGACTGTTTCATTATTACTATAATCTGGCCATAACGTGGTGCAATTGGAAACCTTTCAGCAGAAAAGGATGTACTGGGAAGGGATATGACTCAGAATGGGAGGAGTGCTGTTCTAGCAATGGGCTATGCTGATAAGATGTCCTCCAGACTTTTCAATCAGCTAGGCTCAGTTGACACTTGAAGCAACGTCCTTCGGAAAATTTTCACCCGATGACGAGAAGGGAGTGTTCAGTCAGACTGAAAAGGAGACGACGTTGGGCCAATAATTTATTGGCAATGAACTTACATACTTGTGATAGGGTTGTGTAATGTTTATTGGTGTGGGGAAGGTTGAAAATCGATGTAAAAGCTCGGTTTATGAAATAAACACTCAAATGAGCCCTGCTTTAGAAATTGGTGACTCCGCAAATCATGAGCGGTATTTTGTTGGCCTGTAACAAAAGCTCCTGAGATCGCACCTAAGTTTATGTTTTAAAAAACCCTAAACTACCAAATGTACTTGATCATGAACCTGGATGATCAGTATTCCTAATGAGGGACAAGATTACACAGGTGAAGGTGAAATGATTTGTGTACACAGGGATGTCTGGGTACACAAGATAACCTGCGGTTGCTAAGAGACGCAAAAACTCGGACCATTTTCCTTGCCATTTACTTCCTTTTCCAACCCCCACGCCAACCTTCAAACCGGTCTTATTTATTCGTTCAGTACAAGGGAATTCCCTGGATCCGAACAATTAACAACGTTTGCTTTAAGGTTTCAGACATAACCAAGCGATCTAAACGGGGTAGAATGTGGAGCAGCTCGGCGGCGTGCTGCAAAACGCACCACCTTGAATAACCTTGGACTGCGGAAATTGTGCCTTCAAACTTCTGGTTTCCCCACACCCATGCTTTCTCTCTACCTCTCCTCACAATCACATGTCAACCCCAAAACTGAAGCAAAGATCACCAGACATTATAACATAAAATCTTGCGAAAAGTTCTGTACCACTCTCCGTGGAAAATAAATGCCCAGTCACGCACGAAGGCAACGTCCTTCACATTGACTTCTATTTTTTCAAACACACACACACACACACACACCGAATCACGCACATCACATGAAGGCGGAAGCCGGTGCCATTTACCCGCTCGCTTTCTGGCACTCAGACGCGCACCATTTTATAATCAATCTTTTGTTACAAGACATTTCATTTAAAAAAAAGATAATTCCGAGTCGTCCACGCGCTTTAAAAAAAAACAAACAGCGAAGAAAAATTTCCACATTATCCTCTCGGAACAATTCCGCAATGCTCAACGCCGACCACGAACAGATCAAAAGTGGAAGGGGGGGGGGGGAATGGAAAAAAAAGGACCCATTACTTTCCCCTTATAAATAAAAGGGAAGGGGGGGGGGGGGGTGGTTAAAGACAACTATCTCATTAACTTACACCAACTGCTACCGGTTCTGCCTAGAAACTGTTTTTTCTCAGAATCCCAGAGGAATTTCTTCCAGTCTCCTTCGGCCTCCTTGGTCTTTGCCCGTGCCATGTTGTCTTGAGGAGTGGGGGGTTGTCGAAGAGTTGCTGAAACTTGGCCTCCCTTGAAGCAGATCCTCGCTTGCTGAAGCGGCGCGCGCCCTCCCTGCCGTTACTCTTCAAAAACCAAAGGACGGTTGAAAGCCGCTTACCCCTCGAGGCGTCC